AAAAATCCCCAAAAAATCCCCAAAAAATCCCAAAAAAATCCTCAAAAAATCCCCAAAAATCCAAATAAAATCCAAAAAAATCCAAAAAATCGCCTTAAAATCACCTTTAAAGCCCCTAAAATCCCCGGATTTTTTTCCCAAACCCCCAAATTTTTTTCCCAAACCTCCGAATTTTCCCAAAAATCTTGAGATTTCACCCCAAAAAAAATAAATCTCACCCTGGAAGTCGGGGGGCAGCAGCACCTGAGCCCCCCCCAGGCGCAGGCGCAGCTCGGAGGGGCCGTAGGAGCCCGAGCGGAAATTCAGGGAACAATTCTGCCAATCGAAAGGGAAATGCGACACCTGGAAATGACAAAAAAAGGGAAAAAAATGAAGTGAGGGGAGCCCCGAAATCTTGGGAATTCACCCCAAAAAAATCGCGGGGTTTTGGAGGTGAAAAATCAAAAAAAAAAGGGGAATTTTCGGGAAAAAAATGGATTTAAATCGGCCAAAAATGGCGAGAATTTCGAGCTGGAATTGCTAAAAAAAGGAAAAAATTTGAGGTGAGGGGAGCCCCGAAATTCTGGGAATTCGGCCCAAAAAATTCGCGGGGTTTTGGAGGTGAAAAGTTCACAAATTTAAATTAAAAAACCCTCAAAAAAATAAAAAAATTAAAAAAAAAAAATCTCCCTGAATTTCCCCCAAAATTTCCCGAAAATTCCCGAAAATTCTCGAATTTCCCCGAAATTTCCCAAATTTTCCCAAAATTCCCTCAAAACCCTTTGAAAAAAAACCTCAAAAAATTTAAAAAAATCCCCAAAAAATCCAAAAAAATCCCAAAAAATCCCCCCAGAACCCCCCAAATTCCCCCAAATTACCGAAAATTCCCGAAATTTCCCGAAAATTCCCGAAAATTCCCCAAAATTCCCCAAAATTCCCCAAAATTCCCCAAAATCCCCCAAAACCCCTTGAAAAAATCCCAAAAAATCCCCAAAAATCGCCAAAAATCGCCGAAAATCCCCGAAAATCCCCGAAAATCCCCTAATTTTTCCGATTTTTTCCGATTTTTTCCGATTTTTTCCGATTTTTTCCGATTTTTTCCGATTTTTCCCGAATTTTCCCGAATTTTTCCGAACTTTCCCGAACTCACCCGGATGGG